TTCTCTGGACCCAATAAGGGGGGTGCTGTCACACCCTCTGCAGCCAGAGGGCGCTCCTTCTCTGTCCTGTCTCTTGTTTCCGATGCTTTGCTGTCCTTCCGGTGTTTCTCTCTCTCTGGGGCTATATATTTCTGGGTCTTTCATTTGCCTTGACTCAGCATTGACGTTCAGATGTCCTGAGACCCGCCTAGCACCAGGTCGCCCCACGTCCGCTACGGCATAGGTTTCTATACGGCATTTCCTGAACAGCTGAGCCCAGGCTAACCCCTGTCTTGCCACTACGCATAGGGTCTTTTATGCTCTCCTGCCATTCCACGGTTCGTCCTTTCCGACATCCGTGACATAAACCTCAAGAGGTGAAGATTTTGTTTCTGTTTAGCCTTCCAGAGTTCACAGAAGAGGAGATAAGGAGAATTAAAGGTACCCATGATTACTTTGGATTTAATCACTATACTACAGTCCTGACATTTAATGTGGATTATAAGAATCTTCAGCATTATGATGCGGACAGGTATGTCTTTTAATGTGGAATAATATAAAATAATAATGGGTAGTAAAAGCAAATGTTTGGGATTGGTTCCAGCAGTCAGACCAATGTATTCTGTTTCTGGACTTTGAGAAGGGTTTATAAATGTCTGGAAGTATATTGTTTCACTGAGCTTTCAACTACTCTTAAAATAAACCATTATAGATGCAATTTAAATACAGAATAATGTCAACGCTTAAATTACTGAGTATACAAAACCACAAATTTTGTTAAATAAGAAATGCTTTGTTTTACCCTAGGGGGGCAGGAACAATTGCCGATCGTGCCTGGCTGGACTCTGGGTCAGCATGGCTAAAGGTCACACCATTTGGGTTTAGAAGAATCTTAAATTTCATTAAGGAGGAATATGGGAACCCCCCTATTTATATCACCGAAAATGGTATCTCTGAGCGTGGCCCTATTAATCTGAATGATGACCACAGAATTCATTACCATGATAACTATATCAATCAGGCTCTGAAAGGTGAAGTACAAGTCTATCCTGTTTCTGTTTTCCCATTTACTGTAACTACAAAGTGAAAATAGTTTTTTTTCAGAATTGTATCAGAAAAGAGTTCACCTAGAAATTTGTCATTATTGTTTTTACACATATAACTATTTAGTTTACGTCTTTCTCCACTAGATTCACTAATCTGAAAAACAATTAAATAAAAGTAGAATACAACTAGACTAGAAAGATTTGCATCAGAAAGGAGAGTTGCCTCAGCCCTTGTGGGCACCTCTAGGCTATCATCTGCTGATAAATGTTGATAAAAGATTACTAATGAGAGAGATCAATTCAGCCAATTTAGATTATTTGATTGACAACTGCAAAACGGTAAACACATAGCCTATCAAAAGGCAGCATGAAGATTTTCCACCATCTGGTAGATAGCACCATTGCATAGTTCCAAGACCCTGGGTTTTATCCTTTCCTACCTCTTGGGGCTGATCCCTGTATTCACATGGGTTTTCTCAGAGTACTCTGATTTCCTCACAGCCTTTAAAGACATCTGCTAAATTCTTCATTTAATCAAGAATTGTTCTGTTAGGGGTGGCTGTGATGCCTATATTCAAGTAATGGATTTGTAAAATATCACTACCTGTAGCCAGACAGGTACACAAAACTATTGGTATGTTCACAGAAGATTTCTAGTAGCAGACACTTTGATTTCTTTTATTGTTGCTGATCTTAAGCACTGGTATTTCAGTGCATACTTCCAAGCATATCTGAGATAAATTCTAACATGTTGTTATTTCACCACCTATCTTAATCCAAAGATCCAGCATTATTATGCTCTCAACATGGATGATTATTTTATTTGTCATGATATAGATTCTTGATCTGGGTCAGACTCCTGTGAAGTGTGTTGGTAAAACCCTATGTGTGACGGTATAATCCGGAAGAGTCGGGAGAAGGACATCAGGGGAAGACACTGCAGGGTTAGGTTGGGTTGAAAGACCGGGGGCGGTGACGGTGGTGATCCGGTGCACGGGGGGGAGAGCGCAGGCAACCAAATCCAGGGAATTCCAAAAGTGGTAGTCAGGGCACAGACAGTAATCCAAGAGCCGGGAGATCCATCCAAGACTCAGACGATTAAAACCAGGGAAAGGGGAACTAGGACCAGGAACACGGACATGACGGGACTAGATGCTCCAAGCCCTGGGCTCAGAGGTCAGGACATCTGGGGATAAGGCCTATTCCCTCAAGCTTCTCTAGAGCCTGGTGAAAGGCGGACCTTCAGATGTCCGTCTTCCATGCTGAGCCCGGAACTGCGGAGACACGGGGTTAAGATAACAAAAAGGGGACGAGACACAGGTGAAAGTACTAAAACTAAAAACAATACAAAAAAGGTGGGAGCGCCCTCTAGAGGAGGGATGACACCCATGACAGATACTGAGTCATCTTTGAGCATGCCTAATCTCAGCTGTTTCCTTTGCTCTCAAATCTTTGCTATCACCATACAGTACATGCACACATTTCCACCTTCTTTAAACAACAATTGATATTAATCCTGATAGCTTTCCCATAGTAAGTGGTCTTAAACTGTGATGTTCAATCAAAAAATTCAATGTGGCATCTTCCTGTAATTGGAACTTTTAAATCTACTATATTGGAAATTGTAAAGTATTACAAACAACTCCTTAAGTTTTGCATTTGTACTTATTGCATGTTCTTTACACAGCTTATATTTTTGATGGTGTGGATATTCGAGGATACACAGTCTGGACACTAATGGATAATCTGGAGTGGGCTACAGGCTTTGCAGAGAGGTTTGGTTTATTCTATGTTAACCAGTCTGATCCTAGCTTGCCTCGCATTCCCAAGAAATCTTCCAGACGATATTCCACAATCATACGGTGCAACGGATTCCCAGACCCAACACAAGGTCCTCATGGTTGTCTTCAAATAGAACCAGAAAGTAAGATACTTCATTTATTATTCACATTTTCTCTGCTCTGTGGAGCTCTCCATTGGGCATTTCACTCTTTTAGGTTAACCTAGGTCAAAACAGCTAAGTCACTCTGAAGCTACTCTACCTACTAAGTTTATATTTTAGTGTGGTTTAAATACAGTACATACAAACTCTTCCAAAGCATTGGCCATAAGCAGTGCCAGTGAGTTAGTGGCTCTGAACTGTCAATATCAGTCTCACAATATCAATATCACAGGTACTACAATATCAGTCGTACTTATGTATGTGTATAGTAGCCAGAGTGATTCACATCTTCTGGTAACTCTGTTACTGTAGGTACTGTACCTGCATCTTGAAGGAATAGGAAATAGGTATGTGCACCTATTGAGCTCAGCTGACTTCATAATTAACACGTGTTGTTTGTCTGAATCGTTTAGGACAGCAGTGGTGCTGGAAGCTGAATGACAAATGGAAATGTTCACATTAAGGTTTATGATGGAGTGTTGGTTGTGGGGCAGTTGTTGTCTGGTTTACTTAGCTTCTTTTACATACTGTATATTTGTGTATTTCAACCTTCAGATTTTACATTTGAAATGTCAATAAACACTCTTTGAAAATGCTCAGGTACACCATTGAAAAGAAGCATTTATATTTTTAGATATTATACTTTTTATTGCATGTGCAATTTATTGTACCTTTGTATTTATTACACAGGTTCTACCACAGCTTCCACTGTCATGAAGCCCACAGACACTCCCAGACCTTCCCCAATACAAAGAATTAATTTCCTGGGGATGGAAGTATCATCGTCTGATGCAGAAGTTGCTCTTTACATTCTCTTAGCTTTTTCAGTAGTTGGTGCAATTACAACCTTTTTTGTATCATACCGGTATTTGAAAACAAAATCAAATTTTAAACATCATGTTGAAAACATTAGTCTGCAATGAATGAAAGAAAAGAATCAATTGGTGCTTTTGTTCCTCCTTCAACAGTTGATACTGAGTCCCCTAATTTTATTGTATGAAGACAATTAGTATTTTTTTGTGTTTTACAAGCAAAAGATCACTGAATTTCCTTTTTATATTTTAATATTATCCATTATCCCAACAAATGATAACATCATTTGTGCATTCATCCATTTATGAGTTTTTAAATAGCCAGGCACTGCTATCAGTGACACAAAAATAAATTTAGGCAAAATAATACACAATATTGCATTGTATGAATTACTGGTTACACTATAAAACAAAATAAAGTAAATTTAAATGTACCACAAGAGCAACAGTAAATGTGAATTCCATTCTTTTTTAATTTTCAGCTCATTTACAGTTTAATTTATGGTTTATGTTTCTGTAGAATGAATCGTGACTACTGTACATCATTAATGCTATGATTTTGTGACCACAGAGCAGTGCAGGGAAAAATAGATGCACAAATAAATACCATTCCATTTCTCAGTTACTTATTCTTACTGTCAGAGATTACTGTACAAGGCCATGCAATAATAAAATTATAGTCCAGTTTATATGAAACAGCTGGGGCATGGCAAATGAAAAATAAAAATGATTAAGACAAAGGGACAGAACAAAAAATAAAATGCGCGTGACTAGTGCACCACCAGTCTATTGTGCCTGATGTTTGCCACACATGCCAAATTAAAGGTACCCTTAATGAATTAATAAATGCTGTTCTACTTAATGTCAGTGGAGGATAAAATAGTTTTAATGGAGGAACAATAATGGTCTTTTTATAAACCTTTCTTTGATCAGGTAATAATGAGAGTGAGCTCTCTGTAGCTGTCAGGTCTGCAGTCTTTGGAGATGCTAAAGGGAAGTCTCCTTGCTGGGTTTAATGCACCGATTAAAAGAGCTCATCTCAGCACGGCAGATGTGAAACAAATGGGAAGCAAAATAAAGCTGGGGAACACATCCTGAAAATGAAAGGCTTTACACTGAATAGAAATTTAGAAATGATCTAATTAGCAAGATGAAAGTCAGCTTTTCATCGTCAGGTGACACTTTAAAATGCATAAAATTAAACACATCAATATATAAATAAAAAATCCACAACTGGTCTAGGGTGTGATAGTCATTCTCGTAGCGTTGCCCCAGCAGAGAAAATAGACAAAAAGCAAATTCTGATGGTCTCCAAACATAATTGCCAGGACCTTTGCTGCCGAGAGAATTGTTTTGAACTTGCTGAACTCTGCTGGAGGCCGCAATGGAATTTCCGTGACATTAATACTGGATACCCTGGATCATTTTTGTGTGGTATGTTACATTCACATTTTGCAAGAACTGCGAACTTCATCTACATAATAACCCTTTCAAAACTCACCTAAAGGTTTCTAGAGAGAGTTGGGAGATTTGGGATAAAAACACCCCAGTCTCTGTTTATTCTTTAAAGTATGTCTTTTGGTCATCAGAGGCTTTGTGCCACACCCACACCTATTTCCATCACATGACATGGCATCTATATAACTCCTTGAGCTGATGAATTTCAGAATTAGAACACAACACGCACCTCAGTTCCTAAGCACATTTGTGCTGCCAGCTTTAACCTGGTACTTGACACTACCATATGGCAGACTAGGTTATAACATCTACTCAAACTTGCTTGGGTAACTTGTTTTCAACCATATGACATCTTGTTGCCTGGCAGGCAAAGCTGTTTTTACAGTGTCACAATTATTTAATATAAATACCATGTAATCATTATTTAAAGTATAAATTAAATTTATAGAGTAGAAGCTGAGAGAGACACATATGGACATTTTTTACATTAATTAGAATTGTACTTTAGCAATACATCAGCAATAAGTTTTATAGGAGTAAAAATGGTATAATAAAACAGAAAGGGAAGCTTGCTTATAGATGAACCAGGGCCCTTTAAAATTGAGCTACTAGAGAGAAAGTGAAAAATTGGTAAGTCAAATCTTGTGATGAAATTTCAAGGAGTCTTCCGCGGTTGCGTTTTGAGAGCACATTGGACTCTTTAGTTAATTCAATACCAGACTCATATCAGGCTATGCCATTTTCTAGTTGTGACCAGTATTTCCCAACTGTCATCTCTGAATTCATTCAGTACCACAGGAGTTGGGTGTGTCTATGGCAGTCAAGGATTCTTCAGCTTGTCAGGCAGCAGAAACTCTTGTAATGTATTGGATGCCTGTGTTTATCAGTCCATAGTGCATTAGCCTTTCATTCAATATTTACCACAGCTGTTTGTACTGTGGGTCATCACAGGTTGATGAAAGAGAGGATTTCTATCACATTTAATAAGGGTTGTAGAAGTTTGCTGGTTTGTGTAACAAAATAACAAAACTGAAGGGTTTGATAATGAGAATGACAGGCAACTGGCAATCGTGAATTGAAATATAATAAGCTAAAATCCACTGCTCATGTCTTTTCTTATTTGTTTCTGTGAAGTCAAGGAATAACCTTTTTGTGAACCTTTTGTTGTCAGGTTTACTAAAACAATTATTATTGTTGCTCAAACTATACATCAGTTTTTAAAGAGGCCCCAGGATGTAATGGACATTGAGAGTGAAGATGCCTCTCACTCTCTGGTTCTAAAGTACACTGGGGCAACTATCCACAACATAGAACTACAGGCTTTTTGCGTTTGCAGGCAACAGGACAGTTAAGGCTCTTTCTTCCCCAAGATGGCACTGTGACATCATGATAGACTGACAGTTATTGAAAGTAGCTTTGGCTTTGTCTTTTGTTGCAAAGTGCAGAGAAAGAATTAGTTGAAAGAATTAGTCATGCCACAGAAACTCAGAAACGAGGTGCAAACAGTGGTATTATTTGTCACCATCAATATAATTTACACTCATTTTGTCTTGCAATCCTCAGCTACAATGGAAATAAACCATTTCTTGTTACACATGCTTTTTTGCCAATATGGCTGTGGGTGTACCAGAGAAATGGAATATAATTTTACACATTCCTATTTTTTGTTTCCTTTCTTAAACTGGAATTCAAACCAGTAGTCCAAGCAAAAAGTAAAACTTCCTAAGTGTGACAAAGAGTCAAAACAGTTTACACTGAATCCCAAAATTAAACACTGACACACTAGTTCCCAATTTTTGTTGGAGAGTCTGTGGACATAATTTCTGCTTTCATGCCGAATGGTTTCTGTCTAAGTCACTGAAATGACCCACTAACAGCAAATAAAAAATATTATACAATATTATAAATATTACAAATACAAATCTCATATACTATATTACAAATAACAGTAAATTGTAAACAAAATACAGACAAAAGTTGTATTTGTGAAAATCCCTTTTTGTAAGGTATACATCACTTTGTCATCTTTATTGCAAATTTTGTTCAGTTTTATATTTTTCTTGTTTACTAATCTACCTGTGTGCTGTTTCGCAAATCCATCGCAGAGCACACATAGACACAAACACGCACACTCACACCATAGCCAATTTTCCCAGAAGCCAGTTAACCTACTGGCATGTCTTTGGACTATGTGAGGAAACCAGAGAACCTGGAGGAAACCAACATGAACACAGGATGAGCATAAAAATTCTGCACTGATAGCACCCCAGGAATTGAACACAGGGCCCCAGCTCTGCGAGACAGCAATGTTATCCCTGTCCCACTGTGGCGCCAGCCAGTCAAGATATATCCTGCATAATAGCTGGTTACACATTTATGCCTTCAAAATATATAAGATAATGCTTGTACTTTAGTATCTTTTTATTTTACTTCTGGATCTGGCCCAGCACACTTTTGAGAATGGTTTTTCGAAAGCTGGATAATTTACTATCAAAACAGAGTTAATAAGGGGGTAATATGGAAAAAAGAGGAAACTCTCCATCCATGTTTAAAATAGAAGGTTCAGTCTTTATGATGCTGCCTTACTGAATGAAGTGCACCAGGCCAATCTATATTATGGAATGCAAAAGTCATCCCGGAACCTGTGTTTAGGTTTCCTTACATTCATTCGACCACAGAGTGATAGAAGATTTAGAGGGCATTTGGTGATAGTGGTGGTTGGTGCAAAGTGTGATACAGTAATGTGTTATATAGCAAAATCACAGAGAAGTCTTTCAGAGGTTTCCTTGTAAAAACTGGATTTGCTGTTGAAAACATTTCGATGCCATGTGTTTCTCCACAAATAGAATCCCTGCTGAGTTTCACCACTCATACTGATGAAAGAGAGAGCATTTTTGAAAGCAGCCTTAAACCCTCTTCTTCCTACTGGGGCTACAGTACTGAACGGGTCTGCTGATACTTTATTCCCTTTCAATTTAAATAACTCTGCAAGACCTCAGAACACTAATATGGTAAAAGCTTATTTAGAGAGAGTATTGAAAATGTCAATAAAACCTCTGTGGGTAAATTTTCCATGCCCAGTATTGTCTTCCTATCCCACATTAAAGATGACATTTAAAAATAATAAAGTTTGATTTTGCCAACATCTCTATGGGCAAACAACAAAACATTTCATTCGCTTGCTTTTCAATGCGTAGCCCATGAGAACATCCAACAAGTACATAAATCTTTTATCCCTTTTGATGCCTGTTCCTCTTGCAGTAGAAACTGTCCCCGCAAAGGGTATATTTTGCTTTTCCAGGGAAAAAAAATATGAAAGCAAATAAGAAAAACATCTGAAAGCATAAATCTTCGGACATTCAGAAGAACTACATAGAAACCTTTATAGGGATGACAATTCAGAATTCTTTTTAACATCTTTGTGGTTGATGGTAAAAACAAGTTCACAATCCATTATTACACAAATGATTAGTATAGAATACTAAAATCTGTAAAGTGAGATCCTTACAAAATCCCATGGAGCCTTATAATAAAGCAGGGAACAAGTGAGAGACAATAAAGCATGAGAGAAAAGAAGTTAAAAGAACTGTGAAATAAAGAAAAACATTTCAAAGGTCCTTGCACGTTCACACAATTAAATTCGTCCAATTAGATTTTTTGTTAAAAAAGGATCGTTTACAGGCTGTTTGTACTCTAAATCTTCTCTTAAAAATGGGTAACTGATACGATGGACTTTTCTTTATGCGCAGCTCTAATATTAGAAAATCT